CTGAAGTGGGATATAAACAACTCTATGCAGATGACGCGAACACAGGAGTTGACCCAGAGTATGTTTTCTACCAGAGGAGAAATAGAATGTATGAGCTCCAGTTAAAGAATGCAATGGAACTCAGAAGGAAACGTAAGAGACTAGGCGGACATTAGATTTTTACATATAGTAAAATGGGCTTCTTCAGTAGTATTGGAAACTTCTTTCGAAATGTTGGAAGAGGTATATGGAATGGAATAAAATCTGTCGGAAGAGGAGTATGGAACGGAGTCAAAAATATTGGTAAAAGAGTAGGTCAGTTCGTTGGTATTATACCTAAAGACCCTGAACCAGAAGAACAAGCTCCTGTTATACAACAGCCTGAACCTGCACCACAGTCTAGTTGGCAACCAAATCCAACACCTCAACCGTATTAAAATTATATTTTTACCGTTCGATAGTAGTTGTATATGAGACTAAGTTCTAAGTAAAACGCATGGTATAATGGAACTATTCTCTTTCTTCCATCTGTAGTAAACCATACTTGAAAGTCTGAAATACTTCCACTCGGTGGTTCATATAGCTTTGTAGGTTTTTCGTAAAAGTCATTTGCCAAGCATAAAAAAGAGTTTTGTGCACCAGAAAATGAAGCATGAACTATAATAGCATCTGAGTCGAAAACATTTTCATATGTTCCATTAGGGTTTTCGACTTCATAAAAGTTCGGGTGTACTGGATATTCTGCAGGCTGATTTAACATCCTCAAAAATCTATACCATGCCAAGTTGTTATATTTTGTAGAAATATAAACGTCTTCTCCAAGGTCTTCTATTCTATTGATTTTAACAGTTGCATTTTTCCTGTCATAAACAATATCGAGATGGTACTCTCCTTCGTCAATGTTGTACTGTTTTGCATATTCGAGATAGATATCGTTTATTTTTTCTTGAAAAGCTTGAAGAGTTGTTTCTAAGTTTACAAGCAAATTCACTTGTAAAAGTTTTCCCTGTTCAAATTTCTCATACGTACGTTTTTCTTTGTTATAGTATCGAACTTCAAAACCGACCGTAAATGGGAAACCATGTATGGCTTCTGAAATGAACTTCATTCTACGAAAGCCAATAGCTTTTGTGACGGATGGGTCTCTTAACCATCTTAACGGGTAGTCAAAACGATAGCCTTCATGCTTTACGGTCTCTGTCTCAAACTTTTGACCGACATTCGTAAAAAGTTCATCTAATGGTTTAGTTGTAGCAACTCTTGAATTTTCTTTTTCTATTGGAAGCATATTTTATCTAGAATAAAAATGTCGAAAGAAACAGCGTCTATGAGAGAAATAAAACACAACCGACAAACTCATTTTGCAAGCTCTAAATAAAACACAACAAACTTTTCAAACTATTCTAAGATATCTGAGTCATTGAAAGAAGGAACTTAAAACTGACGATAAACCCAATGACAGACGAGTTTCTATTTCAAGACAACAAGAACCATACTGTCTGTGTAAATCCAACAAAAGGAACTTTAAACGAGAAACCTATAGATGAACTTCTTTTGAAAGCAGATGTTGACAACAAGCTGACAAAGAGTATGTCATTGAAAAAGTTCAAGAAGAACATGACAGAGCAGATGCAACATATGCAACGAAAGAACATACTCATCCTGAACTAGCGGACAAAACATATGTTGACAATAAAATGTCAAGTGAAGTGACAAGAGCTGAAAACGAATATTCTAAAAAGACTCATATACATACCATTGCAAATATTACAAACTTACAAGAAACCTTAAACAGGAAAAAGTGACGTTGGACATACACATTCTATATCTGAAATAACAGACTTAAACGTTAGCCTTGAAAAGAAAGCTGACAAAACATATGTCAACAGTGAGTTAGAGGAGAAGGTAGATAGGGTTGTATGGCTAGTGCGTTAGTGAGAAGGCAGATAAGAATATGTGGATGAAAAAGACAATGAAATTAAAGAAAGGGTTGAATGGTATAATGAACGGACATCGAAGATTTTAGAAGGTAAAGCCAATACAGGGTGGGTTTCAGGATGTTTAGACCTTAAAGCGGATAAGAACCATACACATACCATTGCAAATATTACAAACTTACAAGAAACCTTAAACAGGAAAAGTGACGTTGGACATACACACGATTTCTTCGCAACTGTTGCTATAGAAAGTATTGAAGGAACGGTTGAAGAAACTGGTGGGGATGCAATATATTTGTAAACCTCCTAACTTTCCACAGGTTTAACATCGGATGACGACATAACGACGATGAGAAACATTAGATGTAAAGATGTTTATGTCATGAAGGATGAACATAATACTAAATTCACTGCTCAGATTTATATGACAAGAAAGCAGACAAACAGAGCTTCAAACATTAAGACAGAATAACTTCAAACATTATATCCTATAGGCTCTATTTATACGTCAATGAACTCTACCAGACCAGAAAACAGTTCTGGGTTTTGGAACTTGGACTCAAATAGTCGACAGGTTTTTGTATTGTGCAAACTCTTCAAAGGAAACAGGTGAAGTAAAACGATTTCAGGTGAAAATTTACCTGCACACAGTCACTACGTAGATTTAAGTACATCTCAAGCAGGTTGGCATAAGCATAATTTTGGGATTGGCACGCTTGAAAAAGGTAAAGGATATGATGTTAAAGACGACGTTAAGTTTGCTATAAATTGTTACTGGAGTGACACTCAGGGAGATGGAAACCATACACATTTCGTTACAGGATATACACAAACAACGGGACAAGTAAAGACTACATGCCACCTTACATGACAGTTTACGCATGGTATAGAATTGCTTAGTCGTCATTTTCAACTTCTTTAGCATATTCGTCAGGAGTTGTCTTATATTTGTTAGGAACTGTCTTTGAAAGTATACCACCTTGAACTTTGACAAGTTTGAAACGAGGTCTGACAATAGTAGTTTTATCTTCTGCTTGCAGTGTGTACATTTTGCCATGTTTGCCTAAAACTTCATAATATTCTCTTGTATACTTTCTTCTATTTTTACGAACACGAACGTGAGTACCTGTCGAGTTCCCATTGTTGTCATAGTCAATAGTATTTCATATGGGTCGCGTTTAGTATTTCTATTTTTACTTTGTCGCCTTTCTTAAGTTTGAAGCCTGGCATTCTTTCTTGTTTGTCTCTTTTGACTAAACTATTAAATATATAGTCTTTCTCTAAGTCGGGGTTGTTTTTCATTTCTTCGGGGAGTGGTTTCCCAAACCTTTTTGTTTACGGGTATTGTAAATATTTAAAACTTGTCTCATCTTTGCCATGGAGAAATGTCTGTATTTGTCGTCATATGACATTTCATTTGCTTCACCACCTTGTGGTTGGTTTAAGTCTCTTAAGATTTTTATACAACTGTCAATGACACCAAGAGCAGAATGGTTTTGGTCGACAATGAAATATTGGTTTACATTTTTTGAACGCAGATAGTTTTTAATATCGTCTGATTTGAAAGAACTTTCACAGTCAGATGTCAGTTTTGTTGGATGGTATTTGTCAACGAATATTGTCAAAGCAGTTTTCACATCTAAAATATTTTTGGACTGTAATGGTATGGCTTCACAGTATCTTGTGTTTTGACCGACAAATATTACCAGTATGGTGGTCCATCTTCTCTATACCTCGGAATGTTTTCCAAGATATCCATAAACCAAGCATTTGGTGTTGAACTAAAGATTTTTATCATGAGTGCTTTCTTTGTTGCCTTAGAAACATAGGGGTCCTTGTTTGGATTCGTCATTTTTTAACCCATAAGAAATGGGTTTATTTGGCGCATTAGCAGGAGTTGCATCCAGATTTTTGCCCGCAGTGGGAACACTAGCCAGAGGTGCATTTGGAATTGGAAGGAAGATTTTGAGTACATTAGGTATACTGAAAGAGAAAGCACAACCTATTATACAAACTGTACAGAAAGGTTGGGAGGTAGCACGAGATGCAGCAAATCTTATTCCAAATCCTGAAACAAGAGGAAAAGTTCAAGGATGGATGGACAATGTTTCCAGACAAGCAGGAAACTATTATAACAAAGCAAATGACTACTATAACCAAGCAGGGCACTACATGGACCAAGGTGAAAGATTCTTTAACAGAGGATATAACCATGCACAACAGTGGGTAAACAACAACCAACCGCAACCGCCTCAAACGTGGGGAATGTAAATTTTTTTACTGAGATGAAATGAACAATACAGCATTGAGACAAATGGGCTCAAGATGGATTTGTCGACTTCCAGCAGTTACACCACCACGTGTTTGTCAAGTTCTTCCTATACCTCAGGAAGTTTTAGACCGACTTAAAAAACAACAACAACCAGTTGAAAACAAACCAAACTAAAATTTTTTACTGAGATGAAATGACCGAAGAAGTTGAAACGGTAGATTTGACACCACAAACAAAAAGTTCAGAACCATTGTCAAAACCTGTCAAAGAACTTACAGATGAAGAAAAAATTCAATAATAGAAAGTGCAGGTCTGGAAATACAAACCCTAACTACAAAGTCACTTTTCATAGAAATGGAACGGCTAGTATCTCAAAAAAAAACAGACTCTCACAAATAAAATATTGAAGTCTGAAGGAGTTCGAGACAACAGATGGAAAAGTATATTTTACCGACGAACAGTTCATTATAGAACATCTCATTGACTTAGAGTCGAAATATTCTAAACTTTACAACAAACACAAAAAGTTGAAAGGAAAACAAAAACAATGGCATATGATATTTATGAAGATGTTGACGACACAACTCCTGCAAGTGGAAAAGTCAGAGGAACCGAAAAGTGACGAAAAACCGATAGAAGAAGAAAAACCAAAAACTGAAGATAAACCAAAACCAAAGTTTAGTTTCAATACTAAACCAAGTCAACCTTCATTAGCTGGTATGGGTTGGCGTCAAAGACTTATGGCAGCCGGTGGTTATGTTAAGTAAAGAAAAAAATATTTTTTTATTTTTATAAAAATGCCCCCGTATAGAATGGATAGAAAATCTGCTAGAATAAAAGCAGAGTTGCAAAGATATGGTTGGAGAGTTTCGAAGAATTTTAAATATAGGAAGGGAAGACCCATAAAAGTCTATGACAAACTGGCTGGTCTTCGCTACGAAATGGACCTAGAAACAGCGCGCGCCAACTATCCAAACAGACTGGAGAGGTTAGAAGAAGAACGTCTTATGGACATGCCTTTCAATGTTACTGAGCCTCAAGTTGAAGGACACGACGGCTTTGCCAGATTCTACTGGAAACATGACGAACAATTGCATCCTTTGAGAAGGAAAAAAGGAAAAGGTGAAGACGCACATGCTCCCATGGAAAGAACAAGATATGCATATGAGAAGTATCGTGAAGTTAGAAGTCAAATTACATCTGGTCGAACCTTTACAGTAAACTTTGACGAAGGAAAGAACAAAGAAGGCTTCATGGGAGTACTTGCTGCCATACAAGACGGAAATAAGAAAGGATACAATCTCAGACTAACCGTAACAGATTTAGATGGTCATATATACTACTCACATGGCAATGTCACAACAGCTGCAATGCTTCTTGACGCTTTCAAGACTACAAAGAGAGAACAAATGGTTGACTCCGACTCAGATATTTTGAATGCAATTGAAGGAATTGTAAGCGTGAAGTTCGAATGGTATCAACCTAACCCTCAAGCAGTCAGACAACATGCTGGATACTTCCCGTTCAGAAATAAGTCTGACATTGACTTAACAAGGTATGGAATTTACAATTCAATTGAAAAAATTGTCAACGAACCTTGCATTCTTACATGTCTCAGGAACTCTGGTCTTGTTACAGATGAGAAGATGAAGTATCTTGAGTCATGTGTGAAGACAAGGTACATTCTCAGAGGTCAATTGACAAAGATTGCACCGTTGGCAAATGTGAATATCCGAGTCAACATACCTACAGCTAAAGGTTCTTCACATGACGACTATGTTGTTGACAAAGACTTACCATGGTTGAAGATTGTACTTGTCCACAACCACTTCATGTTGAACGAAAGTCTTACAAACCCATTGTTCGGAAAAGGCAAGTGCAATATTGTCAGAGCTGTTAACATTCTTTTCGAGAAAGGTTTGTTGGAACCAATTCCAGATGACAAGCTGACAGAAACTTTTGTACCAAAAGACGAAACAAACTTTTCATTGTTAGCAAGACCAAAAGTTGTTCCAGACAAAGTTCTAGTACAAAAGAAGTACACAGTTCCAAAAGGAGTTGGATTGTTCGGATACCAACCTGAACCAGAAGAACTTCCAATGAGGTTGCAAGAACTTCAAGATGCTATAACAAACTCCCATTGAGACATCCAATCGACGTCAAATTGTATTGGAGAGCATCAGAGTTAGGTCAGAAGGTTTTATATGAAACAGGTTGCTTCGACGATGTTTATGAGATAACAGGAGAAGTTTCTCAGAAGATAAGAGACTCGCTTGAATTTCCAAAAACTGGTCCGATTGGATGCGATAAGTTCGACTCAGATGAAAAAATATACTATGTCGACCTTAACGCCGCATACATGAGGTTCGTCCAATATATCCCGACTGGAATTCCAAACGAAGATGGTGAGTTCCCAGGAAGGAACTATACAGTTGGAAAAGTCATACAACAACTGTATGATATTAGGAAAGCTTCAAACCCCAAACTTGCAATGACATTAAAATTGCTTATGAATTCGACATGGGGGTATTCCATTAAAAAACCTCAAGAGATGAAGAGTAAACATTATGAGAAGGTCGACAACTTTGTTGAAAGGTTTTCTCCTTTTGTTTTGAAATACGAATTTACCGAAGGTGAAAGTGGCTTAGTAACCACATTAAAACCTATTGTCGAACATTGGTCTTACCCTCAGTTCGCAAAAGCAGTCCTTGACAACTACAACAAATTCTTCTCCGAAGTCAAATCCAAAATTGTGGTTTACTATGAGAACATCGATGCACTCATGACGAACGAAGAAGGGTATAACAAACTCATTGAAATGGGTTTAGTCGGTGAAAAGATGGGCTGTTTTAAGCTAGACAAGGTATTTTCCGAAGTTCATGTTCTCTCCAAGCGTAAGTACTGGGCCGTACTTGAAGACGGCACAGAAATAAAACATTGCATGAAGTAAAAAATTGCATGAAGTAAAAACGTTTTTTAAACAATATATTTTTACATATATTAAATGCTTCAGGTTGAAAAACAAAGAACAAAAGTAGCAGATACAAAACCGTTAGACTATATCTTTACAAATGCTGGTAGGACTATTTCAGATGAAGAAATTTCATCCGGAGCTTACAGGTTTGACTATCCAATTCGTTGGCTTCAAAGTCCTTCAGATGCAAAGGCAATAGGATTTAGAAGAGTTTTGTTTTCAAAAAGAACTAACGCTTTTATGTTTGCAGTATATTTTCATGGTCAGTATGAAGGTTCTGATGGTCTAATAGACAAATTTGACGAAATGAGAATCTTTACAGTTCGTTCAGACGAAAGTCTTGAAAAAACTCTAAATGACTTTCAAACTCAAATAAACAAATACTACTGGGAATTTCAAGAAAAATACGATTCTTTACTAAATGGAACATACTATCTGAAACTAGAATATGACAAGATGAACTCCACAGTTTCATTTCAAAGGATTGAAAATAACCCTCCAAGAGATACACAGTTTTTATTTTGGGAAGTAGACAAACGTTCTTGGGCACAATTTCTTCGGTTACTAAACCAGAACGAACCATTGCCACCTGACGGTCCGTTTAAATTTATACGTCCACCAGCAGATTTGACAGTTTATAGAAACGTGTTTGACCCTCAAAATGTTATGTGTCATGCAAGTTTCAGTTCAAGCAACAATAGTTTTCTTTGTATCGGTAAGGACTTTTATGACCTTACCTCTAAATTCTACGAACCACCTAGTAACAGTTTCTCTGACTTTCAAGTTTGGTTCACAACAAATGGTGTGCAGCATATAATACCATTGTACTATGACTTTTATCTCGAATTGTCTTTCATATATAACTACGGAAAAGTGCTGAAAAAGTATTGAAAAATATATTTTAGGGTAGAAGGGTATATCTACCCCGTTTTCTACCCTCTTTTCTACCCTCTTGAATTTTCATGAATTTCCTTAAGATAGAAAAAAATATATTTTAGTTTTATTTTTTTTAAGTTTGGTCATCCTTCACTGTATGACAAATATACTATATTTTACTTAAAAATATGCAAGCGGCTCATAGCTCAGTGGTATGGGCTACCTCGCTACAGACGTCGAAGACCTCGGTTCAAATCCCGATTCGCGCAGGTTTTTTCCTTTTATGCAGTGAAATTTCATGTACATAGGTTACTTTGGTGTTAGACCCTAGTGAAGAAAATAGAACGATATAAGTTTACATTTGTAAGGTTACTTTGGTGTTAGACCCTAATGAAGAAAATAGAACGATAGGAGTTTACATTTGTAAAGTTGGACGATAAAAATCTCTGCTACTAGCAGTACTGCTACTGTCAGTAAAAGTACTGCTACTGTCAGTAAAAGTACTGCTACTGTCAGTAAAAGTACTGCTAGTTGCAGTAAAAAGGAAAATTTGAGAGGGTTTTCGACGATAAAGTACTGCTACTGTCAGTAAAAGTACTGCTACTGTCAGTAAAAGTACTGCTACTGTCAGTAAAAGTACTGCTACTGTCAGTAAAAGTACTGCTACTGTCAGTAAAAGTACTGCTACTGTCAGAAAAAGTACTGCTACTGTCAGTAAAAGTACTGCTACTGTCAGTAGCAGTACTGCTAGTAGCAGAGATTTTTATCGTTTGTGGTCCGACGGTTAAGCCACAAACGAATGTCCGACGTCCCACCAAAAAATATTTTTTTATTTTTATTGTAAGAACAGAAATGTCAGTCGAAGCAAAAACGTTCACGAACAAATCTAATGGCGAAACATTCACAAAAGGCACTTACAACGGTATTGAAGTCTTACGTAGAGACAAGGATGGTTATATAAATGCAACAAAGATGTGTCAGCAGTTTAGGAAAGACTTTAGAAGGTTGTTGGAAAATAAGTCCTGGGAAGAGTATTTTAAGGCATTTTGTGAAGAATATACCAACCCGCGGAAAACGGCGGGTTGCTTTTTATACAAAGTTCATGCAGGAATTCCGGATGAAATCAAACAGGTTAGAGGAATGTATGTAGACCCAAGACTCGTAAACTATATTGCAATGTGGGCTTCTCCAAAATATTGTATAGCAGTTGGAAAAATTATGGACTCCATAGACAAGAAAGTTCATGAGAAGTTAGATGAAGAAGAACTTGAAGATACAGTAGAGAATGCAAAACCTTTGTTTGAAGAAGAAGTTAGAAAAATGCATGAAAAACAAATAGAACATGAACGTGAGATATGTTCTGGTTATAGAGATTCTCCATACGAACTAGACCAATGGGAACAAGAAGATTTAAAGAGAGAATTTAGAGAATATGAACTCGCTAAGATAACATTAGAAGCTGCAGAAAAGAAGTTAAAAGTTTGGGGTCGTTTTGTAGAAAAATATTGTGAGTAAATGAACCATTTTTTTTCGACAAAAATATATTTTAGGGTAGAAGGGTATATCTACCCCGTTTTCTACCCTCTTTTCTACCATCGTAGAAAACACACAAAACTCTTGAATTTTGTTGCTGAATTCAATAAAAATATATTTTAGGGTAGAAGGGTATATCTACCCCGTTTTCTACCCTCTTTTTCTACCATCGTAGAAAACACACAAAACTCTTGAATTTTGACACTTTCACAAAAAACATAAAAAACATAAAAAATAAAGTTGGTTTTTTTAAAAAAATATTTTTTTATTTTTATTGTAAGAACATGTTAGCAACAACAGCACCAAACTCGTTAGTCATGAACCCAACTTCAATGTTAGTAGAGATGAAAAGCTTCATTCCTTCTTCATATACTTTCGAAACAGAAATCCAGAAGATAAAGCAAGAACTTCTCCAAGGAGATTTAGATTGCACTGCAAAAGATGAAACAGATGAAGAATATCTTTATGAAATGCAGGATATTATTGACCATCTACCTAAACTTCCTGAAATCCAACAACAAAAACTCACTATTCCAGAATTCGATGAAATAGAAGTCAAAGCAACTGACTCAGTAGAAATAAAGAAGTTCATACGAAAGGTTAACTATGAGTTTCTTGGATTTCATTGCAACCACAAAGTCATGGACAAAGATTGCGATATGGTATATAAGAACATCTCTGACATATACAAATCTGGGGAGTTTAAGACCTACGACAACTTTGTTTCGTTAGTTGCTGAATGTGTATGGCAGATAAGAGATAAAGATAGAAGAGGTAAGATATGGAATGAACAGATAAAACCCGCAACTTTTGAGTTAAAGAGAGCAATTGACGCCTTAGTCATACTAGCAGGTAAGGTTTCAGAATATAACGCAAAAATGAACCCACAATGTTCTAAATGTAAAGCAGCAATGAGGAAATATAACTACTCCGTCAAAGAGATAGAACGTATGCGAAACGACTATGCTGACTTAAAGAGGGAGGCAGAGAAACCAGCAGAAGATAAAATGGACATGTTGACATTTCTAAACAAAAACTATCCAACAGCTGACGATTTCCTTCTTTCAGATGTCAAGAAGAAATATAAAGAAACTTTCGGCATTGTGAAAACATTCGATATCCTTCGTGAAGAAATAGAAGCTACAAAACTGTTTAGAATTTCACGAATTCACAATGTTTACCATGTAAAACGCTTATAAAATAACTGGGGTAGAAATGAGGGTAGAAAACGGGGTAGATATACCCTTCTACCCTAAAATATATTTTTATTGAATTCTGAGTAAAATTCTGAGTAAAATATATTTTAGGGCTTGTGTCAAACCGTTGAGTTTTCACAAAATTTAAAAAATAACGTTTACCATGTAAAACGCTTATAAAATAACTGGGGTAGAAATGAGGGTAGAAAACGGGGTAGATATACCCTTCTACCCTAAAATATATTTTTGTCTGATTTACGCTCATTACGATGAAGAAGTCTTGACAAAACATATACGTTTAGTTTCGATGAAATCATGACAAAGAATGTACGATGAAGAAGTCTTGACAAAACATTTACGATGAAATCATGACAAATTCAAGAGGGTAGAAATGAGGGTAGAAAACGGGGTAGATATACCCTTCTACCCTAAAATATATTTTTGCTGAAAAAAATGACCAAATTTCATGAATTTCCTTAAGATAGAAAATAAAAGCTAGTTTTTTTAAAATATTTTTTTTTATTTTGTATGTAAGAACAGGAAATGTCAAACACTGAGTTTGAAACAGTTAGAAAGATAGACAATGACACCAAAATGGTTAGAATTGGTGATTTAAACGTAAGATACTCAAAGAAATACAACAAATATTCTTTGTCAGACATTATATCTCCATCTGGAAAGAAAACAAACGACTGGGTTAAAATTGCTTCAACTCAGAAAATTTTGACAAGAAATCCTGAGCTTATGATATCGGTAAGATTTCATGGAACTACAGCATATCTTATAGACAAAAGTCTTATACCAGTAGTTTTGTTATGGATTGACCCAGTTGTTGGATATAATTTCATAACATATGGTTCATTCGATACGGAACGTTGCAGTGAAGGCTTACTTTACATCGTTCAGAAACCGAAAGACTTCAATACAAAGAGATATAAGATAGGAAGAACATTTAATATAACTAAAAGATATGACTCTACAGTCAATAGAGTTAAGGTTGTGTTTGTTAACGATATGAGAGCTGCAGAAACAGAACTGCTTGAAAAGTTTGAGAAAATGTATGGTGCTCCCACGAAAGGTAAAGAAACGTTTGAAGTAGATGAGATAGATAAAGCTATAAAATTATTTGAGGAAGTTGCTGAAAAATACATGTAAAGCGTTTATTTTTGGTCTTTTATACAAGATAGAAAATAACGCTAATTTTATTTTTTTTTATTTTTTTATCCGGAATATAAAGACAGATATGTCAACAACAGAGAACACAACAACTGCTATCGTTCATGAAGCTATAAATGAAGAATATGAGTGGGTTCAGTTTAACAAACAACTCCGTCTCATTCGTTCGGTCAAAGATGACATGTACCAAATGCAAAGTATTTTGAATGCTCTTCGTTCTACAAAGCAAGCATACCATTGGTTTGAAAACCAACAGACAAAAGAACTTTTAGAAGAATTTCCTCATATGTTTGCTACCCTCGGAAAACCGAGGGTAGAGATTCCGTACGAAAATCGCAAGAATTTGGCTCCTGGTTTGAGAGGTTGGTATGTACATAGACTTCTTGTAAATGCTGTTGCAATGTGGGCGTCACCTCGCTATGCTTGTTATATTTTCATGATGTTAGATGAAATTCATAGACAAGAACGTGAAGAGATGGAAAAGAAACTTCAAGCAAAAGATGAAGTCATTGAAGCAAAAGACAAAAACATACAGAAAAGAATACCACGTTCGGTACCAAAAGGAAAGGAAAAGAACTATAAGTATATGATTTATACTGAAGAGATGGAAAATGAAGAAGATAAAGATATGGTTATGTTGCATTTAGTCAGAAGAAACAACAAAAGCTTTTACGACCTTGCTAAGATTTACAAATCTGACAGAAATTGGTTCTATCGCGAAAACTTACCGATTTCAATGACTCCAAATGAAGATGTGAAACAAATAGTTCAAGATACGTTACCTCAAACACACTATGATATTAAAGGTTGTACAATACTTACCTTCAAAGAAGATTTGCCATTGTTAAAGGAAAAAATAACAGAGTATTTTGACAACTTCAAACAAGCAGAGTAAATGAACCATTTATTTTTGGTCTTGACTTCAGATGGCTCAGGTAGCTCTAGATGGTAAATTGTCTTGTCAAATCCTTCCGACATTCCAAGTTCTTCCTTCCGACATTCCAAGTTCTTCCTTCCGACATTCCGAGTCCTTCCTTCCGACATTCCAAGTTCTTCCTTCCGACATTCCAAGTCCTTCCTTCCAACTGGAAAAAAATTTCCCGACAACTGGAAAAAATTTTCCTTCAGACAGGAAAAAAATTTCCTGTTGTCCGTCCGTAAACCATTCAAATTTTCGAAAATTGAGAACTTTTTGGTCGAACGACAGAAAAAGTTTTTCCTTCCAACTGGAAAAAATTTTCCTTCCAACTGGAAAAAATTTTCCCGACAACTGGAAAAGTTTTTCCTTCCAACAGGAAAAGTTCTTCCTTCCAACTGGAAAAGTTCTTCCTTCCGACAGGACACAAACGAATGTCCGACGTACCACCAACCGAGTCCATTCCAAAGCCAGAAGAACCGACAGCCCCAGCACCACAACAGACTAAGACTAAACACTTACATTTTTCAAGCTTGACTTTTTACAATTTGAACTTTGTTCGCGTAGATATGAATTCTGAAAGAAGTATGAGGGTCTTGTATGACTTTGTACTTCTCCCATAGTTCATGTCTGTCAAACTTACCTGCCATGGACTCTTTCATAAGTTCCATGAAATCGTCTTCGGACAATCCAGGGAAAAGTATGATATCAGTAAGTATTCTTTTAACATCCTTACTTAAACTCTTGGCTGTCTGTACACAAATGACAACTGAGATGTTAAAGTGTCTGAGCTTCTTAAGAATTCGACACATGTCTTGTTCTCTGTTCTTTAACAAAGGATGAGAAGCAAAGTCATCTAAGATAAGAAGACATCTGTGAGGGTAAGTCTTCCAATCGTAAGATTGCAATTTCTTCGAAATGTATTCTATCTCTTTCTGTTTGTTTCGGAAGTGTTTCTTCTCTAATATTCTCTGCATTTCCTCATTTGGGTCTTTAAACTTCGAGTTTATATACTCATTTATAGCATTGTACTTCAAAACTCTTCTTTGGTACTTCTTTATCCAATCTAACAACTCAGAGTCTTTTATACATACTAACTTAGACTTCTTTATAATATCTTTGAACGAATTTACGGTTTTGGTCAAATTGACCAGGAAGTACTACAAATGACAACTAACTCATAAAATGGGTTCTTCTCATCTAGTTCTTGTTGTTGTGCAGCCATTTTAAGATAAGTGAAAGTCTTACCCGACCCAGGCGGTGCAATTAGACCTGTTATACCATTCTGAGCAAATAAGACTTGTCATGTATGGGTTTTATCTGAGCATTTTCTAACTTCCTCTTGTTCTTGTTTAAAACATTCTCAAATTTCTTGTCAATGTCAGCAAACTTTTTCTAACATATTTTGAAAAAATTAAAATTTTTATCTTTTGAAAATGTCTAGCGATTTCGCTATCTATATTCGAGACAAGCTTTTTGACAGCAAAACATCTGTCGACCATAAAATCTTACATAGTGTAAACAAGAAAGGTGAATTTGTTCTAAAGTTCTGTTTCTGGGAATATGACAAGAACCATAAAACATTACAAAGAGCAGTCTTAAAAATTTGTCAATGACAGACTTGTTGACAGAGATGACGCCGATTGGAAAGATGAAGTCCAACAAAAGTTCTTAGAATGCAAAGAAGACACATGCGCTGTTCTTGAAGATGAAATAGAAAACAGAATAGATGAGCTATTAAAGGACAAAGAACTTTTACATAAATATGGTTCGGAGAAATTTGACATAACTCCACCAGAGAAGAAGAAGAGAGAAAAGAGAGAAAAGAAAGAAAAGAAAGAAAAGAAAGTAGAAGAAGAGAAGAAAGAACTGAACCAGTTCCAGAGAAAAAGAAAATTTGACATGTAAAAATAAAATTTTATTTTAGAACATTTCTGGGTCAATGTCAATGTTCTCTTCCTCTTTAGGAGCAAACACTGCTTAGACTCTAAAATTTTTACCCAATTTACCTTGAACTTCAACTATCTTAGACTCATAATATTCATAGTCGTCTGCTTTCTTTGGTTCATAAGGTATAACAAGTTTGTATGCTTTGCCTTCTTTAAGGTTTGAGAACCTTCTGTCAAAATTTTCTTTGACTGCTAACAAACCTTCTATGTCTAAGTCTTCAAATTTCGCACCATTTTTAGTCACAATAGCAAACTTAACTGGTTCGATGTTCCAAACTTTGCTGAATGAAGACTTTTCAAAATGGTAGAAGTAAACATTCAAATAAGCGAATGGGTCTAGTTCTTCTTTGACTTCTGTCATGTACTTATTTACTGAAATATATTTCGTCATCTTTTCTATCGGATAAAAAAATATTTTTTTTAAATTTACTCAGAAAAATTTTTCTTTGTATATACGCCGTTCTGTATGTCTAAAAGATTTTTGACATTTGCCAAGAATGTTCGTTTAGAAGCTGCCATATAACCATACTCTTGACAATATTGTTTATACGAATCGTACAATGACCTTTCATCTAATGACACAAAGTCAGTTTCATCTATGAACAGTTCATATACACTCTTGTTTGCTTCTAACAATGTTTGTCTTTCTTCGGTATGTGGAATTTGTCTTGGATTGAACTTTGAAATATCTAATGTCATGAAATATGAGAACAAGTGGTTGTAAAAGTTAGGTGTCAAAGTTTCTGCTAAGTCGTCAAAATATTCTGTATCTTGCATATGAGAATCTGACGTTCTGACAACTACATATCTTCTGTCAGAACTTTCTAACTTCATCGGAACAACATTGTTTGAAACCATGATGAAATTTGCAACATTTTCACAAACTCTTTGGTCTTTATATTTTCTTTCAACAACTCCAACTTTGTCTGTTATAAGACTCTTCAAAGCATCTGAGTTTAAAACCTTTGTTGTATCTATACTTTGAAGTTCGTTACATACTATAAGTTTCATATTCTCTATTGAAGAGTTAAATTTACCGCAGATGTTTTCTAAGTTTGTCATATTAGGGTTCGAATAGCCCTCTAACAGTTTGCACAAAATATCTGTAAAGAAAGTGTTCTTACCAGTTCCTTGTTTTCCAATTATAATGAGAGCAGTTTCATTTTTAGCACTTGGATATTGTAAGATGTTTGCAAACCAACATAAGATATACTCATAGACTCTTTCGTTTCCATTGCATATAATTTCTTTGACATGGTCTAACCAAGCTTCTATAACATTTTCTTTCCATTCTACTTGTTCGTATTTATATCCAGTGAAGATAGAATAGAAGTTTGGAGAAGGTGTATAAAACTTTATACCTCGAACTGAAAAATCTTCTAACTTTGACAATAAGATATCCCAAGCATCTAACATCTTCATGCCAACCTGTACGACTTTTATTTTCTTAAGTTTCTGTCTACATTCTTGTTCTGAAACTATTGTTGCTCTTGGTTTGTTAAAGACAACATCCCATTCTTTCATGACATAACATTCTGGGGCAGAGTCGACATAAATGACTAAACGTTTCAAATTCTCGACTGCTTTGTTATAGTCTCTAAATGGCACATATTTCTGAACGCTTGGAAGTCATAAAAATCTGAAACGTCTATTCTGTACATTTTTATAAAAATAAAAAAAATATTTTTTTATTCTTGACTTTGTTGTTGCATTTGTTCCATTTGTTGCATTTGTTGTTCTTGAGCTATTTGTTGTTGAAGTTGTTCTTGTAGTACAATACTTTCACCAGTTGCATCTTCCAATTCGAAACTTTCTGCCGTCATTGACAAATACATAGGACATAAAAGTTTTACAGGAACAAAGTTTGCGTCAACTAAGGTTAAGTTTATGTTTGCTAAAGTGTTTGAGTTTACTAAAGCTGAAAACTCTGCATTCGAATGAACAATAGGCAAACCAGCAGAGAAAGTGTTGTTTATACGCATGAGTATCTTTTGGTCATAGTAGTTTCTGTCGACATTCGAATAGCACTTTGAACCTAAGTTTGAAACAATATATAAAATAGGTGTACTTAAAGTCAATGGAACAGACAAACCTTGTATGACACCTTTTCCTGTTATAGGAAACTGTTGGTAGTAAAAACCAGATATAAGTTTTGTATTATAGCTCATATCGTTTATACTAAACTCAGTCGGACATCCAAACATAATGAAACCTGCTCTAGTTGCAGCACATGTTACATCCGTCCTTAAAGTATTAAATAAGTCAACAAAACCTGTTGTGGTATATCTGAGTAAGTATCTTCAAAGAAGTATTTTTTACCATTCACAACAACAAAGTCTTCTGGTGTCAAAAGAGCAAAACAGGCTTTAGTCGTCATTGTGTTTAAGGTTAGTTTACAATATCGTCCTTGAGGACTTTGTAAGTTTGTTGTTATAGAATTATATGACTCAGGGTTTTTAGTCGTAATAGTATAAACCACTATGTCTTCTGCCATTTACTTAGCAAGTAAATTTTAATGAAATGTTGTGGTCGTCAAAATATTTTATGACGTCTGGGAAACTATATTTTAAGTTCAACGTTTCACCTCCTTTCATAACGTATATCTTGTCAATGACATTGTATGAAACACCACAGCAAGCAATGTCGGGTTCTATTTCTTTGATGTTTATATCGTCTGCCTCTGTCAAAAGTTTCAATAGTTCTTTCAAAATTTCATGAGGTGCGATGACATATGAGTTCACTTTTACAGGGTTGTGTTCGACCAAGTTTAACATTATACCCAAAGCCTGACAAATCTTCTCCTGAGTTTTAAGTTTGTCTTTAAGTTGTTGGTAGTCGTTTCGAATATCTGCAACAGAACTTAAGTCTCTGCTAACTTCAGGATATGTTGGTTGTTCTTTTACAGGAACTATTGTTATACCATCTTCGTCTTCGTATGGTTTCCCCACTTCAACATCTCTTTCTTTGACATTGACAACAACACTTTGACTGTTTGTTTGAGTTGGTGAATTTAACTTCACATCTGCCATCGCCATTAAACCTTTTGAAACACTTACGCTTCTATTTTTCGGAAATGACATTTACTTAGAATAAAAAGATGGACGTATTTGAGTATCTCTTCGAATTGAAGCAAAACAAAGTTTACACACACAAACAATACAAGTTCATTGATAGAATAGTTCTTTATACAAACAATGGAAAATGTTATAGAATAGCAGTCTTTGCTGAACCAAAAATTTTCATAAAGCAAAGAAAGTTGGTATAACCGAGATGGTGAAAGTTCTTGAAGCAGACAAAAATATAACAACAAAACTGACCGATATTTCTAAAGGAAAGTTTTTAATACAATATTATATCAAAACTGGCGTACTGTCAATATTTGACGGAGAGAAGTCAGTTCAAGAACAACTTACTGACCTGCTGCCAAAATCTGCTCGATGGAAGCTGTCGTTATACCAATCTGAGGAGCCCAGCAGGTTTCATCGAACGAATCTTCAAAAGAGCATCTTCCGTGAAAAGTGCTATTGGTTTTGTAAACTTCTTTGCTTTCAATTCATCTGGACCGTCTCTGTCACCAGTATATTGTATTTGAACTGTACCAACAGTTGAAATACCACCATAAAGTCTTCTGAGTCAGCAAATGGAATGCCAAGCCAAAAGTTTGAACGGTCTCCATTTGTATATTGAGTTTTTTGACCTCCTGTATGAGTCCATACTTTCACATATGGCATAATAGAACTTTGCATTTCAGGGTTAATGGTTGTTGTGAAGTTGTTGTTAAAGTTCATAGCATCTAATGTCAAGTTGTATGACCTCATATCCTCAACTGTAGAATATTCTTCTCTTGGATAGTATTTGCCATCTATGTTTATATGATATTTAATACCAGGGTTGTAGAAACAAGAATAGTCATTTATAGTTCGTCTGAACAGTACAAACATAGTATCTGCATGTTTCATTGCAGTTGTTAAAGCAATATCTGTTCTTGCACCTGGGTCAGCACTTTGGTTTCCAACTTCACCTGCAAAGTCTTTGACAGATATTTGGTGTATAGGGAACATAAGTGGAACTGCAATATATTTGGCAGCTAAAGCATTTGAAATATCTGGGTCCAACATATAGACTGCAAGTCTGCTTTCTATTCTCTTGCATTCAAACTTTTCGCATGTGAACTTAACTGGGTCCCAAGCATCTCCAGCAGCATTGAAATAATAGTTTACTTCAGTGTTGAGGTTTGAGAAACCAAAGTCTAAGTCAACTTTGTCTTTGCAAAATTCGGCGAATGACGTTTGATTCGCTCCCTTTACGTCTGTAAGAGTGAATGGGTCTTGTGTTGGTGCAATGACTAAGTTATTTTTGCTTGGAGTAAGTTCGATAGAAATTTTTCCTGCCCAGTTTGGCAAGTATCTTAAAAACCTGAAGATGAGGAAAGATGACAAAGGAACTCTAAGTTTCAATTTTACTTTGGTTACTGCTGCTGCAGTTTGTCCAGAAAGGTTAACATAAACTCCTGGAACGTTAGGGTCAAGTCTTCTTATTTTCTCAATGGTGGCGTACTGGTCTGTTTGTTCTCTAGCTTGTGGTTGTACTGAGTTTCTCAAAGCGAACCATTCATAGTTTGCCCATGTTACTGTTTGGACTAAGTCAGAGTTAGAATATATCTTATATCCCATGAAAACTTCTGGAGCATATTGGTATCCGACATAGAAAATTCCATTGCAACCTTTCTTGTCAGACAACTTGGCAGAAGGTTTTATTTCAATGTCTTGTTCCACGTATAAGAATGAGTTGTCAATAGAAATAATATGAAACCTGTCGCAAGCAATATCTACTGTTGTTGAAGAACCTTCTCCAAACTCACCTACATTTCCATAAGAAACAGCAGTTGTATATTCGTAAGTTCCAGGAACTATTTCTGACCTTCTAATGGCATTGTCGCATTCGTTATACCATTCGGAAACATTTCCATTCATAGCATCCAAAACTGTTGGCGTTATATTCTGAGCGGCGTACATTTCATATGAGTAAAAATATAGAATAGTTGGATTTATATGTCATAATAGAACCCACGTGGACCAAGCTTTACTTTCTTCCTGACTGAGTTTTTAACTCTTCTTTTTCCTTCATTGCCCTCTGCTTGAAGTTGTTGCATCTTTGCATTATGTTCATCTAGTATGTTGCAAATTTCCCATGTCCTTTTTGCCTTTTGGCTCTGGTCGCCCATCTCAGGTAACCTATATCCTAGAAAGAGTTTGTCATAGTCTGTATTTGAGTCTTCGCGTATTGTTTGCATGACTCTTTCCTGAGTTTCCGGTTCAAGCTCTTCAAACAGTGCCTGTCCATATGGAATAAGCTCGTTTCCAAATATATGTTTTTGTAGCCATTCTGGTTTTCTTTCCATGTTACCAACTATATCTTTGTGAATGGGAAAGCTTTTACCCAATCTTTCAGTCTTGCGTCGTTTATTTCTGTAGTTGGTTTTATTTTGTCAAGGAACATGTTTTTCAATACTAACATTTCATTTGGTACTGTCCATTTGAGTTTTCTTAAATATTCATCCCTTCTCGATTCATCGCCTGCAAAGTAAGTTTTTATGACATTTTGTAAACTTTCGTTTGCAAGGTCATGTACAATAGGTTCTCTTCCTTCTCCCTCCCTAACTTTCTTTCTAAACTCTTCACCAAATATACCATCTCTATGGTTCTGTGTAGTTCTTTGAGATAAATGTTCTAGAACGTCAGGTGTTATATTTCCATCAGCCATGTTCATTTCATACTGGTCCAAAATATCTGCATGTTTCATATCTTTCAATGGCATTAAAGCCGCGCTTAAAATACCAGCTATATCTCGTTCACCATTGACTTCCATTGCGTCTACAACTTCTTGGAATTGTGGTTGTAAGTTTATGAACCACCTATCTGGATTAGCTTTATGACCCCATCTCATTGTAGTTCCATCGTCTGCAGAAACAAAAGTAGGTTTGTTTCCATCTTGGTTAGGTTCTGAATGAACTTTAAACAATGTTTCATTTCTATATGTTTTCTTGAAATTTAACCTTTTATTTTCACCGAGTTCATCCGAAGATTGAACGTTAAATGCTCGTAAGTAAAAAGGGTTGTTGTATTTGTGTACATTTTCTTTCAGTACTTCCATTCTATGCTGAATATTTTCATCTGGTGCTGGAGTCTTTTGTATGTCGGCAAACATTTTTCGATATTCTTCTACTATGTCAGCCGAATTTTTTTTAGACTCTTGGAAATATTCCATATTCTCCGCATACACTTGTTGAGGGTCAAGATTTTTCGGCTGTTCCAAATCTTCATCTAGTTCTGTGAAGTTAGTTTCCAAAGGAAGGACTTGTTCGTTTCCTTCAGGCTCTTCTAGCTGTTGTTGCTGAACTATTTCTTCCATGTCTGGTTGTATCTGAACTTCTTCCTGTGGAGTTTCTTGTACCTCATCTGCTGGCATTTCATATATTCCGAGACCGTTTTCAACAATTTCCCTATCTACGTCATCCGCATTCATAAGCTTTTGTTCTTTCGTTCCGTCTCTATTTTTTACGCGTTTCATGACGAAAGTTGAATTGTCATTTAGCTCTGACATCAAATATCTCGGAGTAAATTCATCCATGTCATTTGGATGATATGCTATTAAATCATATCCCTTAGCGAGCTTGTATTTTCCAGGTTTGAGATTATATCCGTTTTGGTGCTGAGCCATAAAGCTAAATAGGTTCGGGTCAGTATTTCCATCCTTGAACTTTCTAATAGCTTCTTTATATCTGTCACTAAAGTCAACAGTATCTGGGAAACCACACTCTTCTTTAAGCATTTTTAAGAATTCTTGGTTTCCTTGTTCTCTACTTCTTTTATGTCCTTGCTCTGTTTGTGGTTGTTGTTGTGCAGGGTTTTGAACTGTTGGTTGTGCTGGATTTTGAACTGTTGGTTGTTGTGTTGGTTGTTGTTGTTGTTGTTGTTGTGCAGGGTTTTGAACTGTTGGTTGCTGTGCTGGTTGTTGTGTTGGTTGTTGTGCTGGTTGTTGTTGTTGTTGTGTTGGTTTTGGTGCATGCCTGTGTCTGTGTCCATGTGACGATGTAAATGTTTTAGGTAGTCCTGGTGCAGGTGCTTCTCTTGGAGGGTTTGGTGGTATATAAGTTCCACCAGCTGGCACATATGTTCCATCTGCAGCGTAATGTCCTACCTGACTTTTCGTTCTTAAGAAAGCATTTACTAGGTCTGTTTTGGTCTGTTGTAACTCTTTTTCTTGACTTTTCACAACAGTTGCTCTAACGGCGTCATAGGCACTTTGAACTGCCTGTCTCGTTGCTGCATCTGTTATTTTCGTCATATTTTGTGCTACTTCTCTTAACTCTTTGTCGAAACCTTCAGACTTCAGTTTCTTTCCAGATGAGAAGTCGTTCACTTGTTTCACCTTACTATGAAGAGCTTCGAAGGCGTTCTTAAAGTCAGCATTTGTTAAAGCTTCATTTGAACTGTCTTCATCCGCTTGTATTTTTGTCCTTATTGACCCTATAAGCTGGGCTGCTTTAGCGTTGGCTTGGGCATCTAACCAGTCATTGTTAGCTTTTATATATTCTGAGCTTTTCATTGCCTTTTGCATAGCCGCGTCGTTATTTTTACTTTCTTGTGCTAAGTTTTCATACTGTACGGTTTGGTTTTGCAACTGTAAAAGTTTTTCTGCCTTTACATTTGCTTCAACTTCTTTTTTATACTCATCGCTATCCATATATGTCTTCATGGCTTTTTGTTTTATCTCTTCATCTTTCAGTACTTTATATTGAGTAGTATGGTTTTTCAAATTTATAACATCTTGTTCCATTTTTGCTACTTCTGCTGCTTTTTCTGACACTTTTTTCGCATATTCCTCTGTACTTAGTTCTTTCAGTTGTTCTTCTTTCTTCTTTTTCTCTACGTTTAACTCATTGAATTTCTTTGTCTGTCTGTCATATTCTAGTTTCTTTTCGTTTTCACTTATTTGTTTCTGTATGTCTATGTTTGACTTTTTGACATCTGTTATTTGATTTTTGAGTGAACTCAAATTCATTTGACTTTGAGGGTTATAAGCTGTTCCGTCTGCAGCTCCACCATAGCCTGCCATTTTCGCTAAAAGTGCCGCTCTTAAACCTCCACTCTGTGCACCAACAACTCGGTTTAAAAGCATAGGATTGCTTGACATTTGTTGCAACATAGTGGGGTCATTCAGCATTTGTTGTTGCAACTGTTGTTGTGGTGTCAGTTTTACTATTGGATGTTTCAATGCTCTCTTCCTCTTACGTATATTCTTACGTAGCTTACGTGGCATTTTAAGTGAAGTTAAAAAGCGGCTTTTGACAGATGTTTATATGACACTTTTTGTTCAGCACAAAAAACTACTCGGTCAAAGTCATATTTTCAGTAAGGACATATGGGGTAGAAATGAGGTTAGAAAACGGGGTAGATATACCCTTCTACCCTAAAATATATTTTTATTGAATTCTGAGTAAAATTCTGAGTAAAATGACAGATGTTTATATGACACTTTCTCCGGTTTATAGGACCTCTCTCATATTCTATCTTGTCATATCTAAACTCAAAGTCATGTATGTCCTCAAAACTTCATTTCTCCTAAACATCTTCAGGGCTAGAGGGCACGAAGTGCCTGGAAGCCCCACTACCTTTTTTTTTTTTTTTTTTTTTTTTTATTTAGTCATATTTTGCATAATTCTAAGTAGATTTTGTAAAAAATCAAGAAAGAAAAATTTTAACGTGCTTTATTTTTTCTTTTTTATAATAATACATATTATTATATAATTAACATATTCATAATGTTTCACCCTTTCAAAAATATAATCCTCCTCCTCTCAAATAAACGTACATACGGGTGGCCTCTTTTTTCAAAAAATTAAAATTTGAAATTTTGGGCTCAAATATTAGAGATTTTTTCAACCTTCAACGATATATGTTGTCTATATCAGACCTCCTTTCTTTTTGATACTTAACATTGTTCCTAAATCTTAGCCATTAAGGCTGTTCTGAAAATATTTTTTTTTCGACAAAATTCGAAAAAAATTCTTAAAATTCAAAAATCCCTTAATTCCTGAGGATTTTGGAAAAAAGTTTTTACATGAACATGTGTATATTATATGAAGTATATTGATAAGGTAAAAATCAAATTTTATTGCATATTCATCGAGAAAATAAACTAACGAATCCCTCAAAATTGAGAGGGTAATCCTCCTCCTCTCAAATAAACGTACATACGGGTGCACCCTTAATAGAGGTATGGAAGTTAAGTAAAACAATGAAATTCAATATTTATATTAAAAATCAAATGAAATGATTTGAAGTGTTTAAAAATTGAAACAGGATGATATTTAAACCTTTATTCTTTCAATAATCAAGTTAAATAATAGTATTCAATTATCCTGCAACCATTTTAGTCAAAGATATATGACTAATTGAATTTATTGCAAGTTTTTGTATCAAAGCATACTTAAAAGTTTTGATAAAATTGAAGCACTTTCCATCGCTGAGATAAGTCGAATCTGGGCATTCAGAATTTTCACATTTGTCATTGTATAGTACATAAGGGGAATAACACCGTTTACAAGTTCTTGCATTATCACAATTTGCACAATTATAAGAACAGTTTAAACACCATCCAATTGAAAGATAAGTCGATTCAGGGCAAAAAGTATTTTCGCAAGAATCTTGATACTTAACATATGGTGAACGGCATTTAAGGCAACTGTTACTTTGTAAGCATTGCTCGCAGTTTGTTATGCAGCTATCACATACGTTGGCGTTTTTGTATGTAGAGGGAGGACATGTTGTGACTTCGCACTTTCCTTTGTACAGCAAATATGGAGATTTGCAGCTGCGGCAACTGCTGCCATCTGAACATTGTTCACAGTTTGTAATGCAGCTATCGCATACGTTGCTGTTGTTGTATGTAAAGGGAGGACATGTAGTTCTATCACATCTTCCGCCATAAAGCAAATATGGAGATTTGCAGCTGCGGCAACTGCTGCCATCTGAACATTGATCACAGTTTGTAATGCAGCTATCGCATACATTGCCGTTTTTGTATGTTCCAGGAGGACATGTAGTTCTATCACATCTTCCGCCATAAAGCAAATATGGAGATTTGCAGCTGCGGCAACTGCTGCCATCTGAACATTGTTCACAGTTTGTAATGCAGCTATCGCATACGTTGCTGTTGTTGTATGTAAAGGGAGGACATGTAGTTCTATCACATCTTCCGCCATAAAGCAAATATGGAGATTTGCAGCTGCGGCAACTGTTGCCATCTGAACATTGATCACAGTTTGTAATGCAGCTATCGCATTGGTTACCGTTTTTGTATGTAGAGGGAGGACATGTTGTGACTTCGCACTTTCCTTTGTACAGCAAATATGGAGATTTGCATGTGCGGCAACTGCTGCCATCTGAACATTGTTCACAGTTTGTAATGCAGCTATCGCATACGTTGCTGTTGTTGTATGTAAAGGGAGGACATGTAGTTCTATCACATCTTCCGCCATAAAGCAAATATGGAGATTTGCAGCTGCGGCAACTGTTGCCATCTGAACATTGATCACAGTTTGTAATGCAGCTATCGCATTGGTTACCGTTTTTGTATGTAGAGGGAGGACATGTTGTGACTTCGCACTTTCCTTTGTACAGCAAATATGGAGATTTGCATGTGCGGCAACTGCTGCCATCTGAACATTGTTCACAGTTTGTAATGCAGCTATCGCATACGTTGCTGTTGTTGTATGTAAAGGGAGGACATGTAGTTCTATCACATCTTCCGCCATAAAGCAAATATGGAGATTTGCAGCTGCGGCAACTGTTGCCATCTGAACATTGATCACAGTTTGTAATGCAGCTATCGCATTGGTTACCGTTTTTGTATGTTCCAGGAGGACATGTTGTGACTTCGCATCTTCCGCCATAAAGCAAATATGGAGATTTGCATGTGCGGCAACTGCTTCCATTTGAACATTGATCACAGTGTGTTATGCATTTGTAGCACCTTCCACTATTATTATAGTATGACGCTGGACAGTTAGTTAGGCTGCATCCATTATTATAAAGGACATGAGAAGAATCACACATATTACAAGAAGAAGAACTATCACAGTCAATGCAATTAGCCATGCATAAATAATCGTATGTTAATTCAACATATCCATCACCTTGAAATAAATCATAATCACCACTTTTTATATCAATATTTCTGAAGAAATTTCCAGATGAATGACATGATGTTCCACTAAATCCAATCTCTGTGAAACCATTTACATTTTTATTTCCTCCTTTACCTATCTTACATCCTCCACCACCGCCCGATCCTTCTACTGCCCATCCTGCTTGATATGAACCATTCGCATCTAAATATCTCGGATCGTTCATCAAAGTAGGAAAACCAGAAGTTTCTATTTTATAATATGTGTTATTTCCTCCTCCATGTGCACCAAGAAGATTTTTACTTGCTCCAGAGCCACCTGCTGCAGTAATATAATGAGTTGGTGAATATTGTCCAATATATATATAAGCTGAACTTGACCCTCCACCACAGCCATAATCATTACTGTTTGATCCTTTTCCTCCATCAGGAGATCCTGCAGTATTCAAAGAACCTGAAGTACCAGGTTCTAAATCATAATACATTGTATTTGTCAGTTTGAATTGAGCAGTTACTTTTGATCCACTACCACCAAGTTTATATAGATCTCTAAAACTACCGCCTTGTGCTCCACGACATTCAACTTCATATTGACCTGGTCTTAATGTTCCAATTCGAGAATTACCATGTTCTGCTTTAGCAATAAGATTACTATAGAATAGAAAGAATAGAAACATTTGTTAATAATTGATTTTTTATAAATCCATTTGAATGTTTTTAATGAACTTATTAAAAAGGGTAAAGATCTTGTAATAATGGGACCATAGTTTAAACATGAATACAAAGCAAAATATATATTTTTCTGATCTCTGTTTCCATTTTATGAAACTCTTAAAATTAAATTCTTTATTTACAACTATTCAATTTTTAACACTTGTTTTAAATAGTTTGACGACTCTTTCTAAATAAGTTTAGAAATGAGTTTAAGAATATAAATTTTTTTATTAATAAAACAAACAAATAATAATAGAATATTTTATTGAGGTAATTTGACCTTACTATCGCGATGGTGTTTTCGATCTTTAGATTGTATTTCAACAAGGATATCATAAAGATCATCGAACATCAATTCTTTTGAAATATCAAGAGCGGTTTGACCTTTGTTGTTAGTTATGTTTTTGTCAATATTTGAAGAAATCAAATATTTTGCTGCAGAAACATTGCGAGATAAACAACAGAAATGGAGTGCGGAGAATCTGAGGTTAGTTACAGAGTTAACAGGAACTCCATGTCCAACAAGATATTTCACAACTGATATATCGGATTTACACATACAACTGACATGAAGTAAATTAGTACCAAATGGATTAGTTTGTAAAAGATTTGCATTGTATTTATGTTGGAAATATCTCAAAATGTCTGTACGTGAATCACGGCATACTTTCGACAAAAAGACAAATGAGAAATCTTCAATGAAATAATGAATATGTTTCTCATATTTCTTATCAAATATATGTTTCATGTAAACACAAAGATGATAATGTTTTTCTAATAAAATTTTGATTTGTTCGTCTTTCGTCATTTCAATTGGAATTTTTCCTTTTTTGTTTTTATGTGACAATGAACCACATTCAACTAAAAATTTAACTATCTCAAGGTCATTGTTCTTCGATGCATAATGAAGTGCTGTATTACCTTCTTTGTCTTTTTTGTCAACAAAACATCCATAAATTACTAACAATTTCAAACATTCAAAAGACTTATGAATAGAACTAAAACAAATCAATGGAATTCCTTCTTCATCAACTGCATCAGGATTCAATTCATTCTGAAGCATGTATTCTAATATCTTATCATATTTACGACCAATGACTGCATGAACTAAATCATTCGTATAATTCTTGTTTTCTTTGACGAAATTAAACAATATTTCAAAATTCTCTTCTGGAATCGTGATGTCATTACTAAACTTTTGCAAAACAAATTCAAGAAATCGTTTCGTTTCTTCATCATTACAATAATCAATACATCGAAATCCATCGTTATCTTTAGTAAACAACAATTTCTTTTCACAAACTTCGGCGGCTAATGATGTATATCTATTTTTAATAGCATAATGCAAGGGAATTCGTCCAAAATCATCTTTCTCGTCATATCGCAATCCAACGGATTTCAAATATACAATGATATCAAGCATTTTCTTGATTTCGTCTGCTGTTAAGTTTTCTTTCATTGTACAATAATGTAACAATGAATATCCATTCTCAGAAACTAAATTAAAATCAACTCCGATTTCAATCATTTTTTGAACACATTCTAATGAAAGTTTGTTGATACAATGTGCCAAAATGTAATATCCACATGGGAATTCAACAATGATATTAGGAACAAATGATTTGAATTCTTCTGGTTTAGAGATGAGTTCAATACATTTTTGTTCATATTTTTTGACAATTAAATTCAAGATTTTTTCATTGAATTTCGTAGAATTCAATTCTCGTTCGATTTCATTGATTCCATCAATTGTTTTAAGATTGACACCTGATTTCAACAAGATTTCGGCACATTTCAATGAACCAACAATAAGACAAATGTGTAATGCATTCATCTTTTCTAATTCAACATTAATGTCAACTTTCTTTTCGATCAACAAAACAAGAATTTCAAATTTGTCTTTCAAGATTGTTTTCAACAAATATTCTTTTTGATATTTTTCAAAAACTGTTGGATTATTTTGAATAAACAACAAAAATTGCCATTGAGTATTAAACAATCCTAAACTCAACTCATAGAGTAGTTTAAATCGATTTTCTTCGTTATTAACTCTTCGTGCAACATCAAAAGCTGTTTCACTTGAAAAGTTTTCCAATGAAACATTTGCACCTTTGTTTACAAGTTTATGAACAATTTGTGAATTTTCATTTTTGACAGCATAAAAAACTGCTGAATTTCCTTTGTTGTCACCAATATTAATTGTTTCTTTTGAACAAAGAATAGAAACTAATTTAATATTGTTCTGCAATGTAGCAAATATCAATGGTGTTTGTAAATATTCATTGTATTCATTGTGATTCATCTTCCTTGACATATAATCTTTGACGGTATTGACATCATTGTTCGTAATACAAATAAATATTTCCCCTGCCAAGAATTTTTGGCGTTTTGGAGATGGAGAATTTGATTTCTTCTTGTATTTGAACAATTTTGTATTTGGATTTAATGATTTGGATCTGATTTTCTTCTTCATGGATTGGTCTTTCTTTTCTTCTGTTTTTTCGTTGTTTTTCTGATCTTTTGGTGAAATTTTGACTGATTTTTTGAATTTCTTTTTATTTTTCTTTGTCGAAGTTTTTGGTTTTCTTTTTGTTTTCTTAGGAATTGGTGTGGAAACTTCGACAACATCAACATTAGGAGATAAGTTGTTCTCTTGGTAATTTTGGTTTCCAATTAAAATTGAATCATTATCATTGAGATTATTCGGAGGACAAGATTTAGGAATTTTTTCTGGTTGTGATGATTTTTCTGGAGTTGAAACTTCAACAACTTCTATGTCCGAATCCATTTCTGATTGAGAAATAAAACTGTCAGATGGAAGAGGACGTCTGGCAATGTCATAGAATGGATTGTCATCATCAATTCCTCTTGATCTAGCAAATACAGGAGATCCTTTTGGAGTGGTTTCTCTTGATGGAGTGTGGAACTTTTCTTTCTTGTTTTTCTTGTTTCCTTTCTTGTTCTCATCATCTGAAGAAGAAGAACCGGAACTTGATGAAGAACTCTTCTTTTTAGGAGTTTCTTTGCTATTTTCTGGAGTTTTCATGTTTTCTTTGTTATTTTCTTCATCAGATAAAGTATTTTTCTTAGGAATTTCTTTGTTATTTTCTGGAGTTTCTATTTCAATTTTGATTTGATTTTCTTCTTTCTCTGGATTGTTAATGTTTTCAGGTGATTTCTCTTTCTTGTTTTCTTCATCTGAGGAAGATGAACTTGATGAACTCTTCTTTTTAGGAGTTGTTTGATCAATTTCTGGTGTTTTAACTTCAATTTTAATTTGATTTTCTTGTTTCTCTTCTTTTTCTTGTTTTTGATTGTTATCTTTCTTGTTTTCTTCATTATCTGAAGAAGAACTTGAAGAACTCTTCTTTTTAGGAATTTCAACTTCAACTTTGATTTCATTTTCTTTTTTGTTTTCTTCATCATCTGAAGAAGATGAACTTGATGAAGAATTCTGTTTTTTAGGAGTAATTTGATCATTTTGTTGTGTTTCAACTTTGATTTCAATATTATTTTCTGGAGTTTTCATGTTTTCTTTGTTATTTTCATCATCAGATGAATTTGAAGAACTCTTATTTTTGGGAGTTTCTTGATTATTTTCCGGAGTTTCAACTTCAACTTTAATTTGATTTTCTTCTTTCTTTGGAGTGTTAATGTTTTCAGGTGATTTGTCTTTCTTGTTTTCTTCATCTGAGGAAGATGAACTAGAACTAGATGATGAACTCTTCTTTTTAGGAGTTGTTTGATCAATTTCTGGAGTTTTAACTTCAATTTTAATTTCATTTTCTTGATTCTCTACTTTTTCTTGTTTTTGGTCGTTTTCTTTTTTATTTTTGTCATCAGAAGATGAAGAAGAACTTTCTTTTTTGGGAGTTTCTTGATTAATTTCTGTTGTTTCTTTTTCAGCCTTTTCTTCTTTATTTTCATCATCTGAACTTGAAGATGATGAACTCTTCTTTTTGTCATTTTCTGGAATTTCCACTTCATTTTTAATTTCCTTTTCTTTACTATCTTCTTTGTTTTCATCTAATTGTTTTTCATCTGTTTCTTTATGTTCTTCTTCTTTATTTTCATCAGTTTCCTTTAAATCTAATTGTTTTTCTTCTTCATCAGAAGAAGAATCAGATGAAGATGTTTCTTTCTTTGATTTGTTTTCATTTTCATCTTGTTTTTCTTTTGATGACTTATTTTCATCATTTGAATATTGATATGATTCGGAATCATGTTTTTCTTTGTCTTCTTCTTCATTTGAGTAAGGATATGATTCAGAACTGTGTTGTTTCTCATTTTCTTTCTCTTTATCTTTGTTTTCATCATCATAATATGGATAAGACTCAGAACTGTGTTGTTTTTCTTCATCAGATTTCTGTTTTTCTTCTGATGATGAATGTGAACTTGAATCAGAGGTTTCTTTATCATTTTTCTCGTTATTTGAATAATTATTTTCTGAAATTTTGACAGGAGAAGTTGGATTTATCTCCATTAGTTTAGATGGTGAAGAATGAGTTAGTTCTGGTTGTTCTTGGTCGGTTTTTTCTGGTTCTGAATCTGATGACGATTTTGGAGTTTCAGGAATTTGTTTTTCTTCCTCTTTTGTGTCCTCTGTTCTTGTAGAATCTTCAATTATATCCTTGGAATCTCCATTATCTTCTGCAGTTACGTAATAATCAGATTCAGTTTCTTGTTCGGCCAAAATTGATTCATTTTTATCATTTTTGAGGTGTCTATGTTTTCTCACCTTTCCTTTTGTTGTTGAATCCGAATCTGATGAAGAGTTTGAAGAATTTGTTTTCATAAATGGGCCAAAATTGGGTTGTGAGTCAGCAATTTGAGAATTCCGAACATTTGTGATGAGAATACTTCCTTGTTGGTTGTCTAACATGTTAGGAGCCGATGTATTTGGAGCTGAATCTAATAATAAGGAATTAAAGCTTGGCATTTCAGTAGGTAGATGGGAGGAATCTAATGTAGTGCTATCTATCTTGTAAATGTTCTCTTTGTGAGTTACGGGAGGATGATAAAGGACTTCTTCTGAAATATCGAAAGCGTAAGACGACATCATCGACATTTGATTGCCTTCATCGATAGAGGCGTTTCTTTTCTTTCGTTTTGAGTTCTTTCTGGGTTTTGGATGTTTTAAATTGTCAGATTCGCTGGAATCGTTCTGATTATGATTATTTTCGGATGAATCACCAGCTGATCCATTTGTATTTTTTGATGATGAGTTATCTGAGTCAGAATCTGAATTTGAAGATGAAGAATCATCAGAATTTTCGTTTGAATCTTGATTTGGCATAGAATCATCAATAACAACATTGTTGTGTGAAGCCTGATATTGAGAAAGTATCTCTATAAGCTCTTCGTTTTGTCGTAATTTTGCGTATTGAAACGGATTGTTATTTGTCCTGTCTTTTAGCAATTTTGGATTATACTTAAGTAGTTCTTTAACAAATTCTACATGATTATTAATTACTGATATATGTAAAGGCGTTTGCCCATTTTTATTTTGTAAATCAATGGATATTTTCTCGGCAATTTTAGGCAAAAGTGTTTTATTTCCGGCTGCTGCAATTATGTGAAATAGATTATTTTTTTTCTTGTCAACATAATTAAAATTAAATTTATTTTCAACCAAGAAAGTGAAAAAAATTGCAGGGGCTGTCGATGCAGTATTAAAAACAGCTTCGTTGAACTTCCTCTTGCTCAATCCAAGCATATAACTATAATCACCCGACATCCTTTCTTCACTTACCTGTCACCGTTATTTTTTATTTTTTGTGAATACTCATAGAAAATAATTGAAATGTTTACATATTACTTTCCAAAAACATCGCTCCAAAGCTTTTAATCAACATATATGAGATCATCTAACATGCAAAATGTATTTACATTGACAAAATACAGGATGTTCTTAATGAATTATTAATTTTTATCGCAAATCTTCCTAATTCAAAATTCAAAATCGATTTTATGAGCTGCTTATCGGCAGATAATTTAGTTTCTCATGATGCATATACCATTATTGGGTAATTTGTTTACGAATTTGAAAATAGAAGTTTGAATCATTATAATGTATCATAAAACGCAAGTATTAATAAGAAGTTAATAATCATTGGCCTTGAGTACGTTATAATTTCTTCATGGCAATGTACTAAAACGATTTATTTTTTATTTTATTTTCATATTCTGCCATCTTGCTATTAAACTTCCTTTATTAAGCTTCACATAAACAAGGACTATCTTTATTAAAAGTAAATATACCCATAACTAATTTGGAAGAATGTTTTTGTCAACTCAAAGGATTATCAAGTTCATATATGCATTGTTTGTCCACAGTTGTTGAGTTTTTAGTGATACTATTGCTTATAAACTCTTATTGCATAGTTTGAGGATATTTGATTATCATGTCTTGTAATCCACCTCTTTTACCATTTAATTTATGACTTGCACTATATAGCTATATCTATTCTCTTATTGGCTCAATGTCAAATTTTGAAATTTAAAGTGGGTCAGGCAACAGACAAAATATATTTGTACAAATAATATCCTTATGCTATGAAGTTTTTATTTTTGTTGTAGATAAGGTTAAATAAAATGATTGCAAATAAAAAAATTGACAGATTTTAGAAGATTTTATGAAAAGAATCCTTTTACCTAACAATCTAAAGGTAGAAAACATTCTTGATGCAGAAATTGTTGATATGTTCAGCCCATACTACCAGATTTCCGAACTTATCTGGAACATTTCAGATGATAAACAATTAATTATGGAATCTGCGGATAACATCAATTATATTGTAAATAATTACAATATTTCAAAGATATTTGTCATCGATACGTTTAACACAGTCTCCGTTAAGAGAGAGAAATCACGTGCCGCACTGGCAGAACTTTATGCAAGTTTGAATTGGAAAAGTGACAAATTCAAATTCACTTCTTATTTAGGAGTCCTTTTAAAGGAAAAAGGACTTATATCAAAAGAATATCAAACAATTACTCCTCAGTAAAGCTTAGGAATTTTCAAAGAAGATGATATCTTGCATTCAGTTTGTTGGAATGACTTGGATAAGTTACAGGTATATCTCCAAGATTCTTCCAACAGTATTGAAGGATTCTACGATCGAATGAAGTTGATTGATGTTGCTGCAAGATATGGTTCCGTCGATGTTTTCAAATTCTTGATGTTATCGGGTGCAGTAATCACTGATAAAACTACCACAAATGCTGTTGAAAGCGGATGCCTTGAAATTATAAGAATTCTTCAAAGAAAAGGAATGAAATTCATTGGCTGCTATACAGCCGCTGTCGAGTGTAATAGGAATGAAATTGCTGACTGGATTCATAACAACTATGATGTTGAAATTATAACATTAGCTAATTGCATGAAGTGTGCAAACTATTCTGCTGCAAGTTTCTGTCTTCTAAATGGTTTTGATATAAATGCAAAACACATTGAATGGAAATATACAATTCATTATTTTTCATCATGAAATTCTATATATTTCACTCATTTCGTTCATTATATTGAATCATAGAGTTCAATTTTATTATTCATTTTATTCATTTTTAAGGTTGAAAGTTACAAGTTCTCAATTTTCGTCCCTTTTGTACGTTTATTATAATTGTAGCATATTGTCATCAAGCACGCGACTAACCAGCAAAGACGTGTCCTCTAATTCCGTCCCTAGTTCAAGAATCTGGAACTATTTAAGCAAAAACATTCGATTTCAAAATCAAGCATTCTTTATTCAACGAGTAAAACATTAAAGTATGATTTGTCATACACGGAATAATGACAAGCTATTAGAGTATGTTTAGTACAGAGTTACTGCCAACTTGAGTTCTTGAATTTGGTAAGTTAGAACAAAAGAAGCCATATGTCGCATCTAAGGACTTGTACTTATCAGAGTATTACTAAATGTTTAAGAATGTTAGTTATTCGTCCCAAACTCGTACGTTTCCACGCGAATCTTGATAATAAATATACTATTTTGGACTTTTTGCAATAAATCTCTTTTTACCACATTAGCATATCTGTGTGTATGCTACTTAACCTCTTTAGAGACCATTAAGATAATGTTTTTTGATACTTTTTCAAGACTATGCCATAAAGTAAACGAATAATTTACAAAATGCTATTAAAAAATTTAATTTTATTATGCTTTTATAAATATTGAGACTTTTTAGGACTATTTTAAAAATGTAAATAGATCAATCATTTTAATATTAGATAAGATAATCTAAAGACGTCAGATGTTTCAATAACTTCAGATCAATGACTAATATGAAATTTAAGATTTGTGTTAATTTAAGAATTAACAATGGAATCTGGTTTAGAAAGATGGAAAGCATAGAGAATCTAAAGGATAAGAGAGATTAAATACAAAATGCTGCATAAAAAGACAGATCAGTGAGAAGAAATCATGAGGTTAAAAAGGAACATTCAAATTAGAATATAACATTGCATATTACAATATTAATATTAAAGATAATACTGCACATCATTGTGCAGTGATCCATAAATCAATATTAATATCTCATATGATAAAATCTAATATCATATTACAATATTAATATTAAAGATAATACTGCACATCATTGTGCAATTACACTATTTTAAATATTTTCATAAATAATGACTTACAAGTTAAAAAAATGTAGAATTAACTGCATGATCCAATATTGGACCGAATGTATGTTTGAATCTATAACTGAATTCATTAATGACAAAAAAGTGACTCTATAACTGAGTATCTGGCTGACAATATGCCTGAAAGTTTGAATGTGTCTAGGAATATAACTGACAATTTGAGTGACATTTTGAATGAGGGTTTGGTTGTCAGTATAACTCAAGGTTTGAGAGAGAATATGACTCACAGTTTGACTGACAATATGACTTAGAGTTTGAGTGACAGTATGAACAACAGTTTGGGTGATAGTATGAACTACAGTATGACTGAGAATATGACTGACGGTTTGACAGACACTTTGACTTACGGTTTTAGTTAGAATAAGACTGACAGTTTGAGTGACAATATAACTGACGGTTTGACTGACAATATGACTGTTGATTTGAGTGAGTGTATGATTGAGAGTTTGGGTGACAATATGACTCATAGTTTAAGAGAGTGTATGACTGATGGTTTTAGTGAGAATAAGACTGACAGTTTGGGTGACAATATGACTTCGGTTTGACAGACACTATGAATTAGCTTTTTAGTTAGAATAAGACTGACAATTTGAGTGACAATATGACTGACGGTTTGACACACACTATGAATTAGCTTTTAGTTAGAATATGACTGACGGTTTGACAGCCTCTATGACTTACGGTTTTATTTAGAATATAACTGAAAGTTTGGGTGACAATATGACTCATAGTTTAAGAGAGTGTATGACTGATGGTTTTAGTGAGAATAAGACTGACAGTTTGGGTGACAATATGACTGCTAATTTGAATGAATATATGACTGTCGGTTTGGGTGAGAATAAGACTGACAGTTTGAGTGACAATATGACTGTTGATTTGAGTGAGTGTATGACTTACAGTTTGACTGACAATATGACTGACGGCTTTAATTAGAATATTACTGACAGTTTGAGTGACAATATGACTGTGGTTTGACAGACACTATGAATTAGCTTTTTATTGAGAGTAAGACTGACAGTTTGACTGACAATATGACTGACGGTTTGACCGACAATATGACTGACGGTTTGACAGCCTCTATGACTTACGGTTTTATTTAGAATATGACTGAGAGTTTGGGTGACAATATGACTCATAGTTTAAGAGAGTGTATGACTGATGGTTTTAGTGAGAATAAGACTGATAGTTTGAGTGACAACATGACTGACGTTTTGACTGACAATATGAGTGACGGCTTTAGTTAGAATATGACTTAGAGTTTAGCTGACAATTGGCTGACAGTTTGAGTGACAATATGACTGAGAGTTTGACTGACAATATGACTGACGGTTTGAGTGAGTGTATGAATGAGAATATAACTGACGTTTTGACTAACAATATGACTGACGGTTTGACATCGAAATTCATTCATATATATGTATTGATCAATGCAATCACCCTATTTAATATTATTACTTATCAATTAATTTTTCATTACTACATGCTCTCAATTATTATGACATTAATATTTATCAATAAATATTTCATTACTATATGCTCCCACTCAATTTGACATTATTGTTCTTTGACAAATTTTTCTTTATTAAAGACACTCTCACAAATTCATATCAATATATAGGGTGTCCAAAGGTGTGTTTAGCACAAACCTGAATACTGCGAATAGAAATAAACAAGTTACATATATATAAAGTTTATTTAAATATAATCACCATTGGATTCAATCACGCGTTCGCAGCGATCGATCCAGGCTTGAAAGACACGCTTTAAATCATCATGAGAAAATTGCTCAAATTGCTCTCTTACAAAATTTTCAAGATCATCTGGACTCGCGAATTCGCGTCCTTCAGCTCTCTTTTTTAGCGTGCCGAATAAATAAAAGTCAGAGGGTGCAATATCAGGTGAATAAATTGGGTTTGGAACAACTTTGACATTGTTTTCCACCAAGTAATTCATTACCTTATGACTTTTGTGAACTCTTGAATTATCAAAATGAATTGCAAACTTTTGTTTTTGTTGTTTGGATTTCTCAAACTCATCAGAATTGATAATTTGAGTAAGAACATTGTCAATTAGATACTGAGCATTCATCGTATTAGGTTTTTGAAGAATATCAATTGCGATGATGCCATTCACGCCCCAAAAAACCGACAACATCATCATTGGTGTGTCAATTTTTTTCTTCGGGAATGTTTGCGGATTTTCATCCTTCGGGATCCAAATGATTTTGGCTTCTGTTGCATATTGAAACCAAGACTCGTCCCCTGTTACTAAAAAGCGAAACTTCTTGGATTGATACGCACCCAATATAGAGAGGAGCTCTTTCGAAGATTGGACTCTAGATTTTTTTTGAACTGAATTAAGGTTGTGCGGAACCCAACGTGTATACGCTAGTTTGTAGTTCAAATAATTGTGCAGATAATAACTGACTGTTGTACGTGGTATCTTTGTCATCTCCTCTATCCTTCTGAGTGATGCTCTTGGGTCTTCATCTAGCGCTTGAAGAATTGCTTTGATTTTTCTTTGATCCGGCGATTTTTTGTCAATTTTTATGATGGGCGCCTTTTTGTTCATGAAGTGATACATCCTAACATGATACATTACAGTGGAATAGCTAGGAGAATCCATACCGAAGCATTTTACCAATGTCTCGTAGATTTTTTTACAGTCTTTGCATTTTTTTGCAAGAGCGAGGATGTTTTCTTTATGATTCATTAAAAAAATGAAAAAAATCCCGCCAGAATTTCCCGCGAAACCGCCTCTTGTCTCAAAATTCATTTTATATCCCGGCATGGCGCCAAAATACAACATACTCATCATATACATATATTCATATTTTTTATTATATATTTATAATCAGCATATATCTCCTTTAATAGTCTCATATAGAGCGCTGTGCTAAACGCACCTTTGGACACCCTATATTTTAATTATCACCTATTCCAATCCATTTTCATATTCATATTCTTATTGAGTTAGAATAAATTGAGGATGACTGAGAATCAAATTATAATTAGTGAGAATCAATTGAAGAATACTGGGAGTTAATTGGGGTTGTTTAAGAATAAATTGTGAATAAGTGACAATCAATTGAGGATGAGTGAGAATCATTTGATTATTAGTGAGATTCAACTGAACATCAGTGAGAATCAATTGAATAATACTAAGAAGAAATTGAGGAAGAGTGAGAATCACTTGATTCTTAGCGAGAATCAATTAAGGATGAGTAAGAATCAATTAATAAGTAGTGAGAATCAATTTAGGGTGACTGAGAATCAATTGATTCTTAGTGAGAATCTATTGATAATTAATGCGAATCAATTGATTATTTGTGAGAATCAATTGATCAGTAGTGAGGATCAATTGATTATTTGTGAGAATCAATTGAAGATGAGTAAGAGTCAATTGAGGATGAATATGTGTCTATTCTGATATGACTTAGTATCTACTGAGGCTAGATGCTAACATCTTACTTTTATGATCATAATTTTTCAACTCCATTAATATTTATAACAATATTTTGATTACTATTTAAATAATTTTATCAAATGATAATTATTAACATATATAGGGTGTCCAAAGGTGCGTTTAGCACAGCGCTCTATATGAGACTATTAAAGGAGATATATGCTGATTATAAATATATAATAAAAAATATGAATATATGTATATGATGAGTATGTTGTATTTTGGCGCCATGCCGGGATATAAAATGAATTTTGAGACAAGAGGCGGTTTCGCGGGAAATTTTGGCGGAATTTTTTTCATTTTTTTAATGAATCATAAAGAAAACATCCTCGCTCTTGCAAAAAAATGCAAAGACTGTAAAAAAATCTACGAGAC